CAACAACAGTTATTACAACCTTTTTTTACACACCATGATTTCTAACCAAAAGGTTTACCACCTGTCAAGCAATATAAAGTCTTTTTTTTTTCTAGTCTGGAACTTCCTTGATATGTTATCGAGGGTTCACGATGAGCGAGTTGATTACGATTTGACGTAGGTATTAGGTCGTCAAGAAATTAATGTCGCTTTCTGGAACACTTTGATTAACCCACCTTACACCCCCCCACAAAAAAAAACAACGTACATCATGTATAATAGTTAAACGAACCGCCTAAGCGTTACGTTAGTGTAGACTATGTAATGTGTAAAGTTTAGTATACTCTAATTCCTTATAGTGATGGCACACGACAACACACACATTCGGCATGTAGTGCTGTTTGAATACAAAAAGGGAAACAACGCCTCTGTAGCCACAAAGAACTTTATGGAAATGTTTTGAACGGTTAAGTGTCAACGATGGTTCAACAAATTTCTTTCAGGTGACTTTAGCCTTAAAAAGTGTGAGGGCAGGGGCCAACATGTTGGAATTGATATTGATGCTCTGAAAACTTGTTACGTCTAACCCGAGGCAACACACTCGTGAAATGGACTTAAAATTGCATGTCTCTCATGAAACAATACATAAACATCTAAGGAATATGGGAAAACTCCATAAAGAAGGTGTTTGGGTGCCTCACGAACTCTCCAATGATCATCGTTTCTAAAATGTGAACGTTACTTCGTTTCTTGTGACGTGAACCATTTTTGGACAGAATTATCGTCAGTGATGAGAAATGGATTCTCTATGCGAATATTAAATGCCAAAACTAATGGCTCAGTCCTAGACAAAAAAACACTTCTGACCCTCAAAACCTGGACTCCATCCGCAAAAAGTGATACTTTGCATTTGGTGGGACATCAAAGGAGTAATTCATTTCGAACTCCTCAATGCACAGCAAACTGTCAATGCAGAGATCTACAGTCAGCAACTGGAACATTTAAACGAAGCCCTTCATCAGAAATTCCCTTCACTCGTCAATCGGAAAGGTGTTCTTCTCCTCGACAATGCACGTCCACATGTGGCACGTTTGACGCAACACAAGAT